AACTTAAAGTTGCACTAAGTGAAGAATGGGAAAATTTGGATTGCTCCATTTTTGAAGAGGTTGTTGCTTCAATGCCACAAAGAATAAATGCAGTACTAGAAGCAAGGGGAGGGCCAACACATTATTAACCATTTTTAGTAATTATTTTTTATGTGAATTTTAATGAAAATCAATAAAGTTTTGCCATTTTTGGCATTAATTTTAAATCGGGCGTCACTTTCGGACGTGACTGTACAACATGACTTGCCGATCAAGCGTAATCTAAACGTTACACTTTTTTTTAATTATATACAGTAGATAGATAGATTCCAATGAGGTTCATGCTGACAAATTTCTACGCCACAATATTTATGCATGTGATTTTTTTTTTTTTGATTAAAAAATGAAATAAATAATGTATTTATTCACGGTCAATTAGGTCAAACGGATAAATAGCAAATTTTTATAATTGGTTAGAATTAATCCTAAGTAATAAGAGAAATATACAGTATAATCAATAAAAACTGTGGTCGATAGGCAAATTTATTATAACTATTGTTTGATGTACAATGGATTACAATTAAGATAAATGGAATGATTAATAGATGGTTTAGGGCAATATTTAATGAAAAATGAATGTAAAATACTACATTTGATTTGTCCTTTTTTTTTTCTTTATCAGTGGACGACTCATCTTCGGGTGGTTTATCTAGTTTTACTAGATAATATTTTGCCAAAAATTATTATGCTACAAGATAGATGTTAATATGTTAATATGTAATACGCTAATTTTTTTTTTTAGTTATTAAAACATTCTCATTAAAAAATTAAATTTTAAATGTAACAATAAATATTACAAAATATGGTTAAGACAATTGGTATTGGTTTAACCAACCAAACCAATCAAAACCCTAACCTGATCTAATAACTATGAAAAAATCTAATTGTACGGTATATAAAAAATTTTTAATAAAAAAACCCTAACCTGATCTAATAACTATAAAAAAGTCTAATTGTGCATTATATAAAAAATTTTTAATAAATATAATACCAGATGGTGTATTTATTGACTTTTGATGATCAATCTGATGACGTGAACATTGTTGCTCTTTACTAAATTTTTTTATGATTTACAAATTACACAAATTTATTTTTTTTTTTGGAATGTATCACATTTCAGAATATCAATTTCTATAAATAGCGTAAAATTCTTTTTTTTTTTAAATGAATTGATTTCTGCAGTAAAAATTCTCTATATTTTAACAATATTTATTACAATGTCTAGTAACACTGAATTTGGTAATTCAAATGATTGGGTTAATTGGATTAAAGAATCTACTACGAACAAACAAATTAAATGTTATGACTATAAACATTTTAATAATATTCAAGAAATTGGTTTTGGAAGTTTTGGAAAAGTTTATCGTGCAAACCTGAAAAATTCTCATAGTTATTTAGCATTGAAGTCTTTTTTTAATTTTAACAACATGACCAAAGAAATTGTTAATGAAGTAATTATAATATATGATTAAGATTTTCTGTTTATATAACGTACTACTACTTTACACTATGTTTCTAATTCACAATTCTATTTTATGGTTTAGTTTAAACTTCAACGTGAAGTAGATTTTCATGAAAATATTATTCGCTTTTATGGAATTACAACGGGTATTATGAATATTTAAATTTTTTTTTAATAAATGAAAAAAAAAATAACTAAAATAATTTTTCTTTCAAAAGAAATCCAAAGTGATAATTCAAAAAAATATTTGCTAGTGATGGAATATGCTGATAGCGGCACCCTTCGAAACTACTTAAGTGAACACTTAGAATACCTCACTTGGAATAATAAGTTAAATTTGGCACTTCAATTAGCTAATGCTATATCATATTTACATGATAAAGAAATCGTACATCATGATTTGGTAAGTTAAAATATAATTTAAAAAATTTAATTAAGATTTTGTACCTAAAACAATTATTTTATTTTGTTCCTTTAATAATAATAGAATTCCAATAATATACTAGTTCATAAGAACACCATCCAATTGACTGGTTTTGGATTATCAAAAAGAATTGAAGAATCATATAATATTCAATCAAAATTATATACTAATGTTGATCCACAAACATTTAGTCAATTACAATTATATTCATTAAACAAAAAAAGTAATGTTTACAGTATTGGCTTACTCCTATGGGAAATCTCTAGTGGACGGCCACCTTTTTGTGATGAAACATATGATGTTGGTTTGGCTGTGGAAATATTACGAGGGGAGAAGCCTATTCCTAATACACCAGATGACTATGTAAAAATATATTGTGGTAAATACAATTAAATCTAATGATGATATTATAATGATTTGATTAATTAAAGTTTATTTTTTATTTAGAATGTCGGAATAATGAGCCAGATAATCGTCCAACTATCAACCAGGTTGTTGCAAAATTAAATGCAATTATTTCAGATTTTCAACAAAATGATTATAATTCAGACATCCAATTATCAAGAAATCAGCTGTTTAGATTAAATAATGATAATCCATTAAATGAGAAAATGTCTCAAATTGTTCAAAATTTTAGTAGGAATAATATAAAAGAAATAGAACCTTTAATGTCAAATCTAATTATAAATAACTTTAACTTGGTGGTTAATAATATAATTCTTTTTCTTGAAAATACAGATGTAAAAATGAGAAAAAGTGCAATTGTTAATTATCTTAATAATCACGATATAGATTCACAAGAAATTTATTATTGGTTATTAGATTGTCAAGATAATTCTAGTTATGTTTTTTTACTTGGAGTATTTTATCATTTTGGAATTGAAACTAATGTTGATAGACAAAAGGCATATGAATTATATCAAATGGCTGCAAATACTGAAAATTTACTTGGAATAACTAGTTTGGCCCATTGTTATATAAATGGAATTGGTACTAGTATTAATAAACAAAAAGCATTTGATTTATTCAAAAGGGCTGCAAATTTAGGAAGTGCAATTGGAACATTTAATCTAGGAAATTGTTATAGAGAAGGAATTGGAACTACTATTAATAAACAAAAATCTTTTGAATTATTTCAAAAGGCTGCAAATTTAGGAAATACACCTGGAATGACTAATTTAGGAAATTGTTATTTTTGTGGATTTGGAATTGATGTTGATAAACAAAAAGCTTTTGAATTATATCAAAAGGCTGCAAATTTAGAAAATTATTTAGCTCAATATAATCTTGCTTCTATGTATGAAAGTGGAAAAGATGTTAAAAAGGATATAAATCATGCAATTTATTTATATGAAAAATCTGCTAAACAAGGATTTCAAAAAGCTCAAAATAAATTTGATGAATTAATTAATTTAAAGAATTAAATTGTATAGTAATAAATTTTTTAATATATTTTATATATACTTTTTTTCATGGTGTTTAAAGAATTTAACATCTACCTTCAAAAGTACCCGGGTAGCTCTGGAAAATGTTCATTATTATCTTAACAATCAATCAGAGATCAGAATTTAATATTTATTAATCAGTATCAAGATATATGTAATCACAAATTTTCATGTTTCTAAGATTGATGGATCAGAAATTATTTGCAAAATGTTTAAAAACAGTATCATCAATTTTAAGGATATGAAAATAATACTGCAATTATTTTCACCTTGAAAAGATGAATTTAATGAACTGTAGATTGGTAAATTCTGGAAATTCTGATTACTGGTTGCCAAATTAATATTACAAAAATTTCATTATTTTTTTTACATTTTAATAAACAAGCATTTTTTAAATAACAAAATGATTAAAAACATATAAAATTTATTAGGATATAATTATATTCTATTAATATTTCTATTTTAAATACAACATCAATCCTAGAAAAGCATTACTAATTTTTTTTTTAAAAAAAATACTTTAGTCCTATTTGGTATGGTTAAGATTAATACAGCATATATAGGTTTAGAGGGATTAAAGGAGTCACCCATCTTAGGGTTATTGGCTTTTAAGAAATGGTGTCCTATTCCTCCACGATATAATTGGTTATTCAGAAGAATTTGTTAATTTATATTTTACAATTAACTGCCTTTTTGAATGTTACTTCCATAGAAATCATGGAAATTTCATGGAATATTGCTACCACATCAAATTGAAACATTGTGACGACATGAATTTATAAAAAAGAATAATTATTTCTCACACATCCATAGTAGCCATTTCGACTTTTGGGTGTCTAAAGTCGAATTAATTTCGACCATTTCGACCATTTTGAGGTCGAAATTAGGATAATCATGGAATGCAATAAATAAACATTCTAAACATGAATGTTTTAAATTAATTGGCGGTAATTCTCTAGCTAAATTTATACTAGTGTATCTACTATTTCAATTTAACTAAAAATGAATGCTTGTATTTTAAAGGTTTTTTTTTTTTATAATTAATAACTGTAACTTTTTTCCAAACATACTGGCAATTTCCCATAAAAATCTGAAATCGAATTGTTGTGTTAAAATACACAATGATCTTACGTCACAATTATGATTTTCTTTCGACAATAATACATCTTTAGTCATCACATGCCTTAAATAAGGGAGTATTATTCTTTTTTTATCAATTTTTTAAGATCTAAACATAATTCAAAATAACAAAATAGTTATTTTTTTTCTTGATAAACTTCATTTTCCTTTTATACCAAAGAAAAAACAGTACAATGTTTGAAATAAAATTGCTTGGAAAATACTCCTAAAAAGAATTGATGCAGATAGTGTTGGAGATTTCAAAAGGATTTAGATTATATCTAAAAAGAATTGAAACTATTGATTTGTTTATTTTGTTGTGACCATGATGTGATATCCTTAAGATACTTATTAACTTTTGTAGCTTGTATAATAATTTATAAATATATATTATATAAAGGTTTAATATCAAATCCAAATAGTTGAAGTCCATAATAAAGTTTAATAGAGTATTTCCAATTAATTTTCTAATTAAAATAACAAATTGCCAATTAATCTATTTTTTAACAGGATTCTTATTGAGGTCATTAAATTATTACATTCTTTTTCTGAAAGTAATATTAATTAGGATAAAATAACATCATTATAATCTGTTAATACAGAATATGCAATACTGATAATTTTGACAATTGGATTAATATTATCAATAGTTTGAACCTTTAAATTATTAATTTGATGTTGTATCTAAATTCAAGACTGGGTGTTGAAAATATATGTAATCCGTTTATTGTTAAGTCACTTATTTTTTTGTTATATAGCATATTTTTTACTAGCCAAATAAGTCAGCTTTTATCCTTTTATCAATTTTATGCCATTCTTTTAATGCTGCAAAAAGTTATTTTTATTTTTTGGCACAGGTTTATATTTCTAATTTTTTTTGTATTTCATTCTACAGATTTTCAATAGGATTTAAATCAGGACTTTGGGCAGCCAAGAAAGAATTTTTGAGAATTGATGAATAATAACAAAGTACACTAGTACATTATCATCTTGGAAAATATAATCTTTTATACTAAATCATCTAACATCCTCCTCTAACCGGTCAGCAGGTTCCCAAGTAGCCTCAGTATCTGGGTATCGCTCCCACTTGACCAAGTACTGATGTTAACCTTTTCTAATGCGATTTCTTGTTAATTCTGAAATATTAACAGCTACAAGCTAAAAAATAGAAATCATATCTCTCAGAATCAAGTGTAAATAAGAGGAAAAGACTTGGATTGAGATTTGAACAGTATCATACGATGGTATTTTCTGACTTGTTTCCCTTTATTATTAGCAGCAAAGGAGTGTATATAGTCATCAAGTGAGGTAGAACCTTCTCCAAAGGGTTCTGTAGTAATTGCATTATTAGTTTGAGTTGTTTGAGTGGAAAATTCCTATCTACCAAGATCTATTCCTGTATGACTTAAACTCAGATGTCACATTTCCTACTTCTGTCATAACTAGTGGACTGGCTAAAGAGATAAAATCACATAGTAGTTTATTAATAAACTCTAGTGTTTGATATCATGAAACTTGCAGTATTTGAACTTGTATAGAGGAAAAGGTTATTTAATGTAAACACTCCAAAGTATTCTATCAAAATTTTCTACTTAAAATATCCAATAGTTCATAATATCTGATTTAGTTTTTGAAAAAATGATGATCATTGGCTCCTTTGCAATATGATAAAATAAATTGAAATGTTATCATTATTCTAATAAATTTTTTTAAAATTTTAATTTTTTTTAAGAATGTCTTAGTAATTTCAATATAATAAGTAGTACTATTTTTAAATATTATTGATAATTTTGATGAAAATATTTCAATAAAGTTAGATAATGCTTGATTGACTTTTTTGTATTGTGCATATTAATCTTTCATTGACTAAATATAAATGAAGAGATAAATATTTTACCCATCAGCATAAAATAATTAAGTATATAGTCTATATGAATATCTTAAGCTTATGATATATTACATTCATAGCAATATCGTCCATATGGAGTATTTCAAGAATATAATATATCAGTAATACTTTTGTGTTGTGTATTAAGGGCTATCAACTGAAGAATATTTCTTTGGCAAATGAGCTACTTTATGTTTTTTTCTTTATTGTTAATTTGATTTTATCTTTATAAAAAGCAGACTTTTTTTTCTAGCCCAAACTCCATCAGACTTTTTTTTTCTAGCCCTGAACCCCATCAGACTTTTTTTTTCTAGCTTGAACCCATCAGACTTTTTTTTCTAGCCTGAACCCCATCAGACTTTTTTTTTTCTAGCCTGAACCCCATCAGACTTTTTTTTCCTTACCTAAACTTCATCAACATTCTGAATTTAGTTGCACAGCAAGGAATCAAAGTTATTGATAAAGAAGTTATTAATATTCGCGAGTTAATGAAGAAAATCAAAAATTCACCACAAAGATGTAACATATTGTGAGAACTGTAAAATGTTGAAACAAGATGGAATAATATCCAGTAGTATTTAAATATTTAAAATTTACTCTGATATATCATTGTAGTAGATAACATTTCTGCTTGATTCATATATAGGTGAAGCTATTATTATTTCTCCTTCTATTTTTACCACTGAACCACCTTTTAATTTAAGAAAGTGTTGTTCCTGAGATCTTTTGGTAAATCTGATGGATTATAAGTTTTATTTGTTTCAACTGATGGGGTAGTAGGAAAATATACATGTTTATTGTATATTCCTCAAAGATCTCGGTAGTGACACACCATATAAGAATTATGTCCAGTCAGCATCACCAAAGAGGAGGGTATTACTATATATTATCTTTTATTTAATCATTTCTTTTTCCAGACAAGTATTATCTCTTTTAACTAATTTTCTCCTGAATCAGTTTGCTTATTGTTATTCATCATTATAATTTCAAAATTTAACAATTACTATGCTGACATTTTATTTTAAAATTATAAAATATTTTTAATTGATTAACATCACATAATATGGTTATTTGTTATTCTGATTATTATTGTCATTGATTATTTTCGATCTCTTCTTTCTTCATATTAACTTTCAGAGTTCCATCTTGGCGAAATTAATATATAATTTTACTATGGATATATTCAATAAGAAGCGCAACTGAAAAGCTTCTTAATATTATTATTCAAGCTATATACTTTTCACTGTAAATACTACATTTTTCACCCTCAATTCATTATAATAGATCCATGTTTGAACATATAAAGCAGTGTGTTCAAATGGAAGCTGTTTTACTTAATGAAGTATAAAAGTTTGAATTTCAGAAATTTTTTTTTGCAATATGTGGCCCATTTACATTTGACATTTCTCCTGAGAAAATAAAACTGAACCACGCCTGACATGAGTAGTTTGACTTTTCAGGCGATTTCCTATAGGATGAATTATTGTGATTAGAATCTTTGGATTACACATATTTTTATTAGCCCATAAAACGTTTTGAATACAACTTTGATATCTAAACCATCAGGATACTAATAGGTTTTTAGAACCCTCCAGTCCTCCAAAGCTCTAAAAGCTTGTTTACAATAGAGCTAAATAATGGTTAATACATTTCAATCCCATCTCTTTAGGTTAAAAATCCAAATGTATAATATTTTCAGGCTTATTTTTTTGAGTTCTTGGTAAGTTACAAATAGATGAAACCAATCAAGATTAGTATTGTCAATTTTGTTGAACAAAAATCAATATTTGCGCACAGTACATCATGCGCATAAAAGTGCTTTCACTAATGTTGGACACCTAGATGGTTCATAGCGGTTTAAAAAAGATATTAATGCCATATTTTACCATCATTAATATTTAAATAATAAATATAATTCATGATCAGGTAAATCTACTATAAAATAGCTTAAAATAATGTAAAAAATAAAATAATGCTAATATTATAATGAATAGTCCTTTCCTTTTCCTTTTAATACTCTTCTTCTATATTCTTCAACTATTTTAATTTCATTTCAAGATTACATGCCAACTATCCAAATTCCTCTTATCCTTTTTCCTTTTTACAAACTGATAATCATTTCTTGCAATTCCTCTTTATCCTCTTTTGATTTATTATTATTCCTTATCAAAGTTCTTAACATATAACACTCACTTTTATTTGAAGAAAGATGATATGCCAAAAGATTTAAAAGATGTCTTAAGGGTAAATAAAATTATTATAAATTAATTTGTTTAAAAAAAATGTTTGTTAATTATTTATCAGGTTAAGAGTGTAATAAATTTATTTATAAAGAAAATATTTCATATAATAAATGTTTAATAGGCATATTCACGTGCAATTCTTAAAAGTATGATATGTCATGTATTTTAAGCTGATATCTCCAACCATACAGAGGAATAGAATGTTTTCCGCTTGATTTATTAAAAATCAAAAGAGTATGATTGTATAAGCATTAAGGAAATCCTTTAAAAATCAAGTAAAAAGCCTTGTTTTAGAAATATTTTATCTAAAACAATTCTATTTACAAAAGTTACAAGTAAATTATGAATATGTATAGTAAAGTATGATGTTTATATAAAATTTTCTCTTTGCTATATCCGAATTTTTAGGTCTGTTCTATTTTATTTGCATTGTTGATCACTTTGTCAAATGTAAGGACAGGGTTATTGACTACCTTTTGCCTCCTTCAATTTATCTTTAATCTCCTACTTTCAGATTATTTAGATTATTTTGGTCAGTGATTCCCTGATGCTAATTGTTTTTCTACTGAGACTGCTTGAATGACTTCATTGAACTATTCAAATTCTTCAATAGAAAGATTACAGCTGTTTCATTAATTTTCTATCTCAAATAATGAAAGAATATTTCTGGTATAATAATTTCCTTCCTATATATTACTAACTCCTTGAAAAATATGGAAAGAAAAAAAAAAAGGCAAGAAAAAGGAAAAGGAAAATAAACAGTTGGGCTCAATATAATACTGGTGATATTTATACTTAAAATATTTAGGCTGTGCATTTTATCACATGTTAAGATATCTTTTTATGAAAGTTATTTCATAGCCACCAGCACAACCACCACAGCCATAAAATTTTAATATACTAAATTTGGCTGGATGTATATTCATTAAGACCAATCACAATGTTTGTTATAATAATATTTATTAATTTTTTTGACAAATATATCAGTTTTATTTTCTAAGCCAAAATTTTAATGAATACTAATTTTATTTTATAAGAAATAGAGATTAACCAATTATCTAGTTTAATACTATTTATTTATTATAAAATAGACGAACCTTAGTTTGTTTGTTAACCAATAAATTAACTAAGCAAAATGTTCAAAAAGAACAAAGCCATCAAAAGTGAACGGAAAATAATAAAAAGAAAGAACAAGAGGTTTATTAATATTGTATATTCATGAAATCATGCAAATTATTCTTAGTGTATGCTGTACTTTCAATAAGTTAATCTTGATGTAAGTCCCAAGTATAACTTACAATTCACTTCCGCTTGTACATTTTGATTGTGTAAAAGTTTGTGGCAAATTCTTGGCGCATGCGCCGATCAAACTCTGGGCTTTCCCTAGTTTTTATTATACAGCACATTTGTTATATGTATTTTTACGTAAAATTTTCAGTTAATAAAATAAATAAATAAAACAAAGTTTCATGTTGACAATTTATATGTGTGATTTAAATTGCAATTCCATTGTATGAATAAGAATTTATGAATATATTGGGTTTATAAGTTTATTGTATAAATGGTAATATTTTTAAATAATGAATAGACTAATTTGTTGCTAGTAGCAATTAACGAAAACAAAAACGTACAATGACAGTACAAGGACGAAGGGAAGATTCCGATAACGAATAAGCAAATTCGTCCCGATTAACGAAAACAAGTTAAGATCAAGATCTTTGGATTTATGATTAGATTAGGATGAAGAAAACAAACGGACGATAAGAAGTTTCGTCCGAATTTCAGATACTTTTCTGTCAAGACTCAAGAGTGTAGATTTGGAGACCTTTTATTAATGTTTCATATTAATAATAATTTTGTCTTTTTTTTTATATATACATACAAATAAATAGCAATTTATTTTATTTTTTCTTTTTCTTTTTGTCAATATTTTTAGAGATAATGCCTTTCTTGCAATTTTAGAAAATTTTTGAGTAATTGAAAAACATAGGAAAATATTAGAAAATTCAAAAAAAGTTTTAAAATAATTTAGATTAGTAACTTTTTATACAAAAAGATAGAATTTATATAACAAAATTTTTTTTTTAGGTTTATCTTAGTAATTTAGAATAGATCGGTTAGTTATAGATGATAATATAATTTATTTGTATTTTCGTCTAGGTATTTGTGTAATTATGTAACATATCCATAAACATAATTAATAAATGCGTTACTAATCTTAAAAAAAAAAAAAAAAAGACTAATTTGTTGCTAATTATTAAATAATCATATGCTACAAGATTTAGCATGATACATATTAATTTTTTATTTATAGAAAAAGAAATTAGATAAAACTCTAAACAATAAAATGTGAAAAATACATTTGTGTAAGAATTCTAGATTTCAATATATGACAAAAGCATATCTACGAAGAAATAAACTTGTTTATGATATAGTACATCAAAATTGTTGCAGTATGATGTGGGACATTGTTGCTTTTTTACTGATTTTTTTTTTGTTACATAAGCGTCGAAATTGGTCCATACTTTTTGCAATTAGCTGTAAAACTCCTGGTCGAATGAAAATATCCATAAAAGCAATAAGTGCTTTCATAGCAAACTATTCTATTATACAAGATTGCGACTGATTGCGTCCAACCCATTGTCCCACTACGTAGATCAACGTCTAATCCATTGTCCCGGCCTATGGTAAGTCAAATAAACTTAATGAGTCGAATAGATGATAAACACATAATTTTAATTTTAATCATAGTTTATTGGCTGAAACTATATTGACATGTATCATATGACTCTTTAATTGATAAATAATAATATACCCTAAATTTTAGGGACTTTCTCTTTTTTTTTTTTTTATTTTAGGGACTTTCTCTATTAGCCGATATGCATTGTTTACAAATTACAAATTACACAAATTTATTTTTTTGAAATGTGTCACATTTTAGAATATCAATTTCTATAAATAGTATAAAATTGCTATAAATAGTATAAAATTCTTTTTTTTTCTTAACATAAATTAATTTTCGCAATAAAAAATTCATAAACAATTAAACAATACCTACTATAATGTCTAATAACATTGAACTTAATTTTATTGATAATTCAAACGAATGGATTAATTGGATTGAAGAATCTATTACAAAAAAACAAATTAAATATTATGATTATAAACATTTTAATAATGTTCAAGAAATTGGTTTTGGAGAGATTGGAAAGGTATATCGTGCAAATTGGAAAAATTCTCATAGTTATTTAGCATTGAAATCTTTTTTTAATTTTAATATCGTGGCAAAAGAAATTGCCAATGAAGTAATTATAATATCTAATAAATAAGTATTTTTGTATTTATGCCGTACTACTTTACATTATTTCTTAATTTATGATTCTATTCATGGTTTAGTTTAAACTTCAACGTGAAGCGGATTTTCACGAAAATATTATTCACTTTCATGGAATTACGACAGGTATTCAAAAGAAATCCAAAGCAATAATTCAAAAAAATATTTGCTAGTGATGGAATATGCTAATAGTGGCACCCTTCGAAATTATTTAAGCGAATGCTTTGAAAATCTCACTTGGAACGATAAGTTGAATTTGGCACTTCAGTTAGCTAATGCTATATCATTCTTACATGATAATGAAATTGTGCATCATGATTTGGTAGGTTTTACATTAATCAAATTGGGTCGTAAGATTGTATGTACCTACCTAATACAATTATTTATTTTAATTATTCTATTTAATAATAGCACTCTAACAATATATTAGTTCATAAGAATACCATCAAATTGACCGACTTCGGATTGTCAAAAAGGATTAAAGAATCATCCAATATTCAATCAAAATCATTTGAAATGGTTGTTTATATTGATCCACAAAATTTTGATGTAAAAGGGGATAGCAACAAACAAATTCAAGTATATTCGTTAAATAAAAAGAGTAACATATACAGTATTGGCATACTTTTGTGGGAAATCTCTAGTGGATATCCACCTTTTTGTAACAAACCATATAATATTGATTTGGCCATGGAAATATTGTATGGTCTTAGAGAGAAACCTATTCCTAATACACGAGAGGATTATGCGAAAATATATACTGGTAAATACTTACAATTAAATTCAATCATGATTAAAACATTATTAATTAATTATAATTTTATTATAAATTTAGATTGCTGGAATAATGAACAAGATAATCGCCCAACTATTAACCAGGTTATTGCAAAATTAAATGCAATTATTTTAGATTTTCAGCAAAATCATTACAATGCAGACTTCCAATTATCAAGAGTTCAGTTGTCTAAATCAAATAATGAAATTTCTGAAGATATTATTATTCAAAATTTTAATAGAATCAACATAAAAGAGATAGAACCTTTAATTTTCTTAAATCTCATTATAAATGACTATGACCTATTGGTTAATGAAATAATTCTTCTTATTGAAGATGTCGAAATAATAATGAGAAAAATTATAATTGTTAAATATCTTAATGACCATGATATAGCCTTAAAAGAAATTTATAATTGGCTACTAAACAATCAGGATAATTCTAATTCTGTTTTCATACTTGGAGTATTTTATCATTTTGGAATCGAAATTAATGTTAATAGACAAAAAGCATTTGAATTGTATCAAAATGCAGTAAAATCAGGAAATGTATTTGGAATAACTAGCCTAGGATATTGTCATGAAGAAGGAATTGGAACCGGTGTTGATAAACAAAAAGCATTTGAACTATATCAAAAGGCTGCAAATTTAGGAAATCCGCGTGGAATACGCAATTTGGGATATTGTTATGAATTTGGAATTGGAGCTAGTATAGATGAACTAATGGCATTTGAATTATATCAAAAATCTACAAATTTAGGAAATACACTTGGAATAAATAATTTGGGATGTTGTTATTATGGAGGAATTGGAATCATAGTTGATAAGCAGAAGTCGTTTGATTTATTTCAAAAGGGAGCAAATTCAGGAAATTATTTAGCTCAATACAATCTTGCTTCTATGTATGAAAGTGGTAAGAAAAAGGATATAAGTCAAGCAATTTATTGGTATGAAAAATCTGCTGAACAAGGATATCCATATGCTCAAAATAGATTAAGTCATTTAATCAATGATGGTTGATTTTTCACTGTGATCCATATTTTTACTGTAAATGTAGCATATTGGAGAATTTATAACTTTACAAAGTCATGATAATTATTTGGCTTGCTTAAGTTTGCTGATCATATGTTGAAAATACAAAGATTTACTATTTAGTATGTAAATCAAGAAGTATTAATTGTTAATTAATTAAGTTTAAAATAAATAACATTCTAATCTTACTGTACTTGCATAGAATACAAATTCCCAATAAAAAATACTGTATGTATTTAATTTTTTTTATTATATTCAAGTAACTGTAGAAATCATAACTCAAAGTTACACTTTTCAATTATTAAAATAAGATTATGAATAAAATACTATAGGAATAATAATCACATTATTTTTTATAGCATTAAACACAATTGTTTTCACATGAACAGAATTATTTCATGCATACTCATTATATTCGCACCTGTATTAGAAGAAACTATATCTTATTTATAAATAGTAGAGATGAAGAAACTTTATTTTTAGGGCTATCGGCTCTTTCAACCAGCAATCTGGCTATTAAAACTTTGTGTTCTCCATAACGAGATTTTAGTAGTTAAATAAAATGTTATTTGCACATTCTGTCATTTTTATCGTATTTGTAATAATTAATATGTGCGCAAATATCCTTTTATTAAAAATTAATGTAGCATGAAATGGTATTTCATATACTGACATATTTTTTTAATGGACGTTTATTCAAAAAATGCAAAGAAAATGAATGATTTTAGAAGAAATTTATTGTGTAGTTGACAAAATATACATATTTTGCCACCGTAAAGTACTAATAGAGAAATTGTGCCATTTATCATATAATGTTCAACATAAGGATCATTAACAAATATTTTTTGCAGAAGCTCATTTTATTGCCTTTTAAAAATGTTATTTTTGAGAGATTATCAGATGGATAATTTTAACAAATTTATTGTTATTCCAGATTTTACTACAGCAGTATTATTTTACAATGAGATATATCTTAACATTTTCTCGCCATTAATAAATAAATGAAGAATTAAATATACAACTTTTCTCATTCTTGAAAGTTATGTTGGTTATATAATTTGTTCCTTTAAATTTTATTTGTCTGTATAGCTAGGAGGTACAGGCAAACATCCAAATTATAAATTTTTTTTATTATAGTACTTAAACTAATCAAAATAAAGTTATGAATAAATTTAAGATGGATTGCTACACAAAATTAAAAAATGTTAGCCAAAATTAAACTCTTGTTAACTACTAATACATTAGCTACACCACTCTTATTAATAAACAAATTTATGGCCATAGCTATAATCGTTAATATCAATTATTTTACAAAATAATCTTGCTAAGCTCACGAAAAGCTCATTTTTGCACATGAATATTGTTACTCATCAAACATTTTTAATAAACAATACTTTAGGATCAAGCAAAAAATTAACCAATAATAACAGCTGATGATTTGCTAAAAACAATTATTTCTCTTTTTTGATTGAATAAGATTCAATTAGGAAAACAATTGTAAAATTTAATTATGAAATAATATTTAACCATGAAAAAGAGTAATATTTAATTATAATTTTTTTTGCTCTCCTCATTTCTGATATTTGAAATTTAAAAATTAGTTATATTTTTGTTAATAAATTATTTCCTAATCTCTCTAACTGGCTGTTTGTATAAGATCACTTCATTCTAAAAATGATAATTAAAATATAATTATTTCTTTGGAAGTAAATTTCTATGAATCTATTTAAATTTTAGTCTTACCAATACTCAAAAAATTCATAAAGTTTCACAAGATAAATACATGTAATTTAATACTACAACCTAGCCACATTCACTTAAAAATAAACTTGCCGATTATTCAAGACAAGTGAGTATCTATTCTAAAGATTTAACCAAGGTCAAACTTTGATATGGAATCAAAAATCGACTAAAAGTTATATCAATTCATTAACAAGATGAAAACAGAATATTGTTAGATTTCAAATTTAGTTAATAATACTCAAGTCATAATAAACTAACTAAATATCAATTAAGTAGCACAAATTTCATTACATAATTATTTTTAACACTGATACAATTTAATAGAGAAATAATAAATTCAATATCTAAATCAGTAGAATTCAAATTAAATTTAGATGAACAAAATTATAAATAATTTCTTAACAGTTAATAAAATTTTAAATAAAAAAGAGTTTAAAAGAGATTTGAAAGCAAATATCTTCTTATTTTTAATATTAAATCCAAAAAGTAACTTTATACTGAATAACAGGATTAAAGTTATATATTCACATTTATATTGCTTTTTTGGTAAATTATAATAAATTTACTATTCATTAGTTATTTTAGAATGTATTTAATAATAATATTCCTGATAAAGGAAACAAAACAAATTTGTCAATGAAGCAATTAACGAATTATTCATAAAACTTAGTTATAAATAGTAAATATATACTTAATATAATCCCTAATTTGACCAGCAAGTATCTCTATTCTTTAGTGTAATAAAAAAAAAATCACAAGAAAGTGTACTATATACTACAGTATAGATTTTTATCAACACTTCATACTGCTTATTTAATTTAATTAACTGTTGCTAAAAAATAATTCCTTCAGCTTTTGATATCGGGCTGGATACTATAAATCCTGCTGGAAATGGCAAACACCTTGTTGTCTTCCTTGAATATATGCCATGAACTTATCAGAATCTCATAACTTTGATGATAATTATTTGTATTATCAGATTTTCCATAATTACTTTAAGCTTTTCAATTACAAGTTTATTTATAAATCTTTTATTTACCTTTAAACCAGAGTTAATTATCTACTTAACATAATTTTTGCTTTAATTATAACTTTGATTAATATATTAAACTTCTTTATTATTAATACTACTTAATATTACAGTCAGTGAGGAAAAATGCGCAGTAGTAATTCAAGCAATATTACTAAATTACTAGCAATTTTGATACACTTACCAACATGGTGCTATGTTTTTTTCCTTTAGTTGACATCTTCAATTAATTAATTCATATTAAGCTTTATCATATAAAAATACTTTCTAAAAAACTATACATTTATTCATTCTAGTTCATATAAATATTATTTTAATCATTTAATTAATTTGTGTGATTTCATTTAGTAATAATTGTTCTTATATCAAATTTATATATCTTATAACATTATAATATGTAATGTTTTATTCACAAATCTGAAGACATTAGAATAGATTAGAAATTTAGTTAACATACAAAAAAAGCATACTATTTTAGTAATTATTAAAAGAATAATCTAATATCTGTATACAGTATAACTGAAAACAAATATTAAATACAAAATCATCTTTAAAAGAACATCATCTTATATTTGATCTAATTTTAATAGTATACCTTGACAATGTAGAAATAGAAGCAAAGCATACAAAATTTCTATAAGTAAATCAGATCTGAAAAGTAGGATAACAATTCATACATAAATAATTTGAGAAACTCATAGATATATTGACTTATATATTATGCCTTTTGTATTGATAAGGATCCGGATCCAACAATAACCTCCATACTTTTTGAAATTTGAAATAATAATTGCTTATAATATACATTAGAAATTAATCTAGTCTAATAAGTCTATGAATACATTTACTACTTTAAAAGGAATAACATTTGTAACTATTTTTTCAGTAATATTATCATATTAAGATATCTGTTCGGAGTTTCTGAGATCTTACATAGCCTATAAATTAATCAGTAACAGTGAAACATTATTTTCATTTACATAAAAACGTTAACAACATACCAGGAATTATTAAATTATTTACTGCAATGTCAGTTTTTTATGATAAACCATTTATTTTAACCAAATTAGTCATAACTAATAATAAAATAAGTATCTTATTAGGCACCTCGTAATAATCCTTATTTAACTGTTTGGCTTAATCCATATTTTTTCTAACTTCATGTTTTATATATTTGCAATTACAATATATTGAGCTACCTCATCCTGCTTATTTATTAAAAAAATTTTAATATAATAATAAATAGAAAATTGTAAAAATTGCTAAAACAAAAGTGATTGCTTTCAATTTATAATAGTCTGATCAAAAAAAAAAACCCCTCTCAAAATATTTTAAATATTTCTTCACCTTTGATTTATCTTAAAATAATTAAATATACGAGTAAAAAAACAGAGTTTAATTTATGTTTAGACTTACCATCTTTATTGAGAAAGATCAATTTGTAAAGATTCTATTTAATAAATAAAACATATCAATATTTTGTCTTAATTAGTTATATATCACAAATTATTACAGTAATCGCCTGAAAATATTTCACTAATATATGTTGTCATTTTGCTCATTATAATAATCATCAGAATTTTTTGGCTCAGGAAAGGTTATTAGAATTAAGCAATCCACTTGTAAAAATTTGCTTCTGTATGTGTTTTGTGTGACAAATTTGTAAAAAGTATGCTGCTAGTAGTTGGTAGACTATTATTGATTTCTTCTGCCTCTTTAATTTGTTTTTGTAATTCTGTTTTATTATCAATATCTATACGCTCCAATTCATAGGATTCATCATAATATTGATATAAAATGTATCGAATTTCTCCTTTTGGTCGATTTAATAGATTTGCCCAGCAGGCACCTTTTCATTAATTTACAGTCAATTGAGGTACTTTAATATCACTAAATCTTGGTCTAAGTGCTTGACAAATTTTATTGCTAATTTATTTTTATTATCCCAACTATTAATACATCCATCAATACATTTTTCTCTATACACTTTTCCAAAACCACCTTTTGCAATATATTCAATATCATAAAATTTATTGTAAGGTATCCACTCTAATACTTCATATTTGCTATTAAATGCTGATAGTTGAGCTTCTTGTCAATATTGTTATTATCACTAGTCCAATTTTGAAATTTTATTGAAAATGCTTTGCATTCTTTGCACCAATCAAGTCCAGTATTTTTTTGTTTACACTATTCATTCACCAATAAGCCATTCATAGTTCAATAGATAAATTTCGAGAACTCTATTAAATGGTGATACTCAACAGCAGTAAACCTGAATGTTACCTTAAAAATTTTTTTTTTCGATTACACATGTATGACATTAAGTGTAACATGAATCAACAAACAATACGCTATTTGACAAAATATGATATATTTAATTGTAAATAAGAAATTTTTGCTTTTACTGTAACTACATGTTTAAAAGCTCAAGAGAAGTTATTTGAAACTGGGTATGTATTTTCGTCATTAATTCTATATTTGCGTGATATATCGATCATCTGTCGATCATCAGAAAATCTCACACAAGCTCCATTATAAAAAATAATCTTTAAACGTTTTACGAAAACGTTTGAATTAATATTACCAAGTTTCACCAATTCTTTATTATAAAACAAACTTATGGTTTTATCTCCAAAATCACGCTTTAAATCTTTTTTTTATTAACACTACAATATAAACTTGCAAATCACACAAGAATCGGATAGTGTATTTATTTTGTGATGACTATAATTTACAAAAAAATTCATAATTACTAAGAATTAGTACACAGAATTCTGCGTAACAAATCCATTTTGCAAACAAGTAGTAAGGAGAAAATTTTAGCATATCTGATATGAAGGTTGGTTAATTATGTTATATGTTTTTTTAATAAATTTTAACGTTCGTTTCTCATTATTTTAATTTATATTTTGACAGGAAAATTTTAAGATTATGAAATTGTTGAGATGATTAATAAAACTGGAAAAGAGATTTCTGTATCCACTTTACCGAGATCTTTAAAATTTCGCGGGATAACAAGAAAAAATGTTAAGTATACATTGCATTTTTATTGTATATTTTAATTATTAAAAATTGTTAAAAAATTAAATATCTAAATATTATTTTTAAAATCCAACAAAAATTTTTTGTTAATAAATTTTAGCTTTTGTGGTGAGCATTTTTTTTTTTTGGTTTTTGGTTTTGTTTGTTAGGTAGATAGGCTTTAGATAATTTGGATATAAATGTATTTGTCTTCTTACGTCTAAATCATTAGGCTCAATTTTGTTTTCGCCTAATAATATAATAATATTCAATAGAGGAAAGTAGTACAGCACATGATCTCCAAAAATAATTTTGTAACGTTACAAATTTTTAGCCGATAATGATTGACAATATACTGTAATAATGAACCAAAATTATTCACACATTTGCACTCTTTTTTTTTTTAAAAAAAAAGAAAAGTATGGCTTCAATATTTCACCTTAATCTTTCAAAAGACCTTTCCTTATTATTAGATTATCCAGATGATTACAATGTTATTATTCAAGTTGGTGAAAACCAAAATACAAAAGAATTTCGTACGCATTCAGTTATTTTACGTGCTCGTTCTTCTTATTTTAAAAGTGCCCTTTCTTCTAATTGGATTAGAAAGAAGGATAATATGATTATATTTAGTAAACCAGATTTAACACCTACTTGTTTTGATATGATTTTAAGGTAAGAATCATTTGATTTTTTTTTATTAATCATTTAACTTATTCAAAATTATTATAATTAATATAATTATTTTACTAGATATATTTACACTGGTGAATTTGATTTAACTAAGCAATCGGGCGAAAATATTCTCGATTTACTAGTCGCATCTGATGAATTACTTTTTGAAGAGTTATTTAGACATGTTCAAGACTATTTAATTGAAGAAAGACTTGACTGGATTCATGAAAATTCTGCTCTTGTTCTTAATGCTGTATTTAGACTTGATAATTGCAAGAAGTTACAAGATTGTTGTCTTAAATTTATCTGCAAAAATACACTATTGTTTTTATCTTCAAAAAGTTTTCCTTCATTAAATAAGGAAATACTTTTTGATTTGCTTAAAATAGATGACTTACAAATTGAAGAAATTATCATTTGGGATCATTTAATCAAATGGGGTATTAATCAAAATCCTGGTTTGGTGAGTGATAAAGCAAAATGGAATAATGAAAATTATGAAGCATTAAAGAAAACTTTAAATCAATTTATTCCTCTCATTCGGCTTGTGGGAATTTCTCGTGTGGATATCTTTGATAAAGTCCTTCCTTACAAAACTATTATTCCCAAACATATTTATGAAGATATTGAAGAATTTCATTATAAAAGTGTCATACCAAAAATTATAATTTTACCGCCTAGAACTGGATCATTAATCAAATCAAATATCATCGAACCAATACTTGCAAAAATAATAATTAATTGGATTGATAAAAAAGATACCATGTATACTCGTACTATAAATGACCCATTATATAAGCTTGAACTTATTTATCTTAATATTCGTGATGGATTTAGTAATAAATCATTTAGGAATAAATGTAATGGTCGAATGGCGAATTTGGTTTTAATTAAAGTTAAACAATCAAACAAAATTTTTGGTGGATATAGCCCTATTGGGTTTAGTTCATTAGGAGAATCAGAAGAAGGTTACTTTGTTGAAAATAATGGTCGATTTTATAATTCATCAAATAATTTTATTTTCTCCTTCGAACATAATAGTGATAATAAATATATGAAAATAAGTCGAGTAGTAAATAGTAATAAAGCAATATTCGATAATCGTCATTGTGGATTTGATTTTGGTATGGGTTCATTGTGTATGAGTGGTTATACTTTATATGTTAATAATTATAACGAAAATTATGAAAATAATTTAAATATTCGTGCGATTTATACCATTGCGGAGATTGAAACTTTTAATGTAGAAGATTACATCAAGAAATAGTTTTTGAGAGGGATTCTGTAACAATTTATTGATAGTTTATAATACATTTAAATAAATGGATAAATCATTTTTATATTAAATACTACAAATTTTTTTAAAATGATTGAAACATACATCTAACCTTGTATATAAAAGTATTCAATGAAATATCATGGTATGCAATGAAATTTTATTATTTAATTTCATTTACTGTACCGCACTGCACAAAATATCCCCTTTCCCATGTGAAGTATCCTCACTAATATGTCAAGTAGATGCATATTTCTCAAAAAAATTGCAGTTCAAGATCGAAGTATGATGATCTGCGGAATTTAATAATTCCGGCTGACCATGTTTTATTAATATATGATCATAATTGTTTAATTGATACAGTGATACAGCTATATTTAAAAAGTAATATCATTTATTAATTTGAAAGCAATAATAATATTATAATAATTTATTAAAAAGATCCGAAGTAATATCGGATCTTACTGTAAAGCTGTAAATTTTGCTAGTTTAATTTAAACTTTAATTAATTTTATGGATGTATGATTAAACTATTTTTGCTTATATAATAAAATTAATCTCTAGATGGGACTTGCCATTTCAAAAAAGGAAAAACCAGGGTAAGTATGATGAGGTGAGTGGAAGGAAGGAATATTGCATGGGTTGACGATCAAATTGCCTAGTGCAAAATACTTCATCTTATACACATTATGACATCTCTATTTTCTATTAGACATCACACCATATAAACAACAAACTGTTGCTAAATAGAAGAGATGTAGGAACGTTATATTCATTATTTATGTTTAAATTATTCAGTATAGTATACTAAACTATAGATGTTTAAAAAAAACTCTTTTATAATAAAATAAAAATCGGATAATTAAACTATCTGGTGGAATGATTATTAATTTTTATACCCGAATAAAATGAACTTTTATATTTTTTTTTGCAATTTTATAGTAAAAATTTATTTTCGTTATTTTTTTAATTATTAATTTACAATCTACAGTATTTGTTTATTTCTATTTTTACTTTTTACTTTCATGTTGCATAAAATCACTGTATATATTAAAATTATTTTTTTAAAGGGAATTGCAATTTAAGAAATAAACTATTTAACAATTACGTTTAAATAAATCCGATTTTGATAAGTTTATTTTTTTGAAAAAAGAAATACAGTGTGCGAAAATTTTATTTATTTCTCTGGGATAATAATTGATTATATTTGCAAAAATAGCAAAAAAAAAAATGTATCAACATATTATTATTACGTGAGTATTTGTATGACAATATTGAAATTAATAACCGTGACAAAATTTTCTTAAATATATTAATTTCACTCATTTCTATTTTCATTCACTAATAAGTTATCTAATTTTAACTAATGTCAAAAAAAAAATCATTTTCAACCATTTCTAATAACATTCTTTATTTCATTTTTTTTGATTACAGTCAAACCTTTATATAACGATATGTCGGGATATATATGAAATTTTTAGAAAATATCGTTATATCAAAGTTATACCGATATTTATATGTCCTCATATATAGCGGGAAAATAAAATTTTATCGGTATATCAAGTTTTTAATAGTATATCGGTATATCGAATATCGGTATATCGAGGTTAGACTGTATACATTCTTAATTCTTAACATTTTCCTTATAAAAAGGAATGCTCACCAAAAATGTCCGGTAATTGTCCATGTGATTTAAAAAAGTTTGTTGAAGTTATTAATAAAGAATCAAAAGATTTATTGAATGATAAATTAAAGGTAGCTGAAAAATTATTGAAAGAATGTTGTACAAAATTCCTTAATTATAATGACATTGTTAAACGTTCAGTTAATTAGTAACTATTTTCATCTCTATTCATTAAATGCAAATAATTGTATACAATTTAAGAAAACAATATATATTAATAATCACTTTTCGGGGAAGTTCCTTATTCGAGTTATTTTTAATTTAATTATGTGTAACATACATCAAAGTTTCGTATCCATAAAACGTCTTTACAGAAACCCGGTGTTTTGAACTAAATCGTCACGTGTTCGATTCCTATTCGTCAGAAAATCGCACTGATCACGTTACTGCGTGTTATGATACGAAATTGTCACGAATTGTAAAAATGTCGCTGCTATTCTATCACCAAGAAGTTTCGAAATATTTAAGAAACATTAGAAGCATGTTTACAAAACAGTAAATAATACTAACATTAATTGAGAAAATTAGTTTTTGATGTGGTATAAAATAATAAACTATATATAAATTTAATAGTTTAATTTTATAATTTTTTTAGTGCAGATTTTTGAGACGAACGATAAAAATTAATATTATTATAAATGAAGTATTGCATTATTTGTAAGCTTAATAAATGTGTCACATTATAATGTATTATGTGAAAAATCGCTTATTTAATTATTATAAAAGAATAAATAATGGAAATAATTAAATAAATACAGTACACGCGAAACTTCATCACAAGTGCAAATTGCTCGCAAAGTTTTTTAATATCTTTTGTCAATTTATCTAAAGTCTTTGTCTTTGCCGTGTCTCTTGCTGAATAATTAACAGCAAATGCATTCTGAATGAATTTACACAAACAAGACATCGAACCCAGAGTATGTAATTCGTCCACATTAGTGGCACTTAACCACCGACTTAACACATGAGCCGTAACAGTCTCATCCACAAAAGAGATAATTTCTTCTCTTTGTAATGGACTTGTCATAGACCTATAATTAATTAACATCATTAAATAAAAAATAAAATATAATTAATAAACATCATTAAATAAAAAATAAAAGAAAGAGAAAGAAAGAAATATACTAACAATGTCCTCTTTTCTTTGAAATTTTCAACTAAATTCTCGACACTATTGACTAATTTATTACGGAAGTCACCAAAGTGCCTATTTGCCGTATGAAGCCATTCAATGCCTTTAGCTGAATTGAGTTTTTAAGAACTTGTCGTATCAATTCTTCAAAGGCACTTTTTGGCGGATTTCGAACACGTAAAAATAGACACTTTAATTCTTCTAGAAAGTCTCGGCAA